CTGAAGACTGGAGTTATGTAGCTGAAACTTCATCTTTAAAATAACTGGAATAAATTACTAAATTAAATTATAAACTACTTTTGAACAGTTATTTTATGGTGCAATAACATTTCACAATTGTACAATTTGCACTGTATTTAAGATGAAATAAATGCAGTCTTGGTGAGCAGAAGCTTATTTAAAAACATTTGAAAATCCTACTGACCCTAAACTTTTGACCGCGAGTGTAGTTCATTCAGATAATAATTAAATATTTAATTAATACCCCTTAAATAACTTTGCAATGAGGTTACTCCCTTTTTCATGTCAAGTCAACTAATCTCTTTAAAAGCAACACACATGTGCATGTATTTATGATATTTAAGGAGCTTAATATTGTTTTTTTTTTTTCAGGTATTATTATAATAAGCGCATTTTACACAAGACCAAAGGAAAACGTTTTACCTACAGGTTTAACTTCAGCAAGCTAATCTTAGTGAACTATCCAAGTCTTCCAACCTGCCCACAGGTGCATAAAAGTGTTTTCAATATTATTATTGACCTTTTTTTTCTGAATTATAATATTTTTTTGTCATTTTATTTTTCAGAATACACCATCTGCCCCCTTCTCTGTCTTTCCTTCTCAGCTTTCCTTCTACAACTCTTCTATTGACAGGGGTAAGATTGAACTTTGAGTAATGAGTTATTTGGTAACACTTTACAATAACAGTACATGAATAATGATGTATTAATATCTAAACTAAACACTACTTTATTGTGAACTAATGATGAGTAAATATATGCGCTAATAATAAATCTTTAACATGAGTTCCAAGAGTCCATGTGTGAATAACGGCTACCTTAATTACTTGCACATGATTGTTTGTTAATTAATGTATTAATTACCACATTAGTTAAGGCTTAATTTAACCATCATGAGCTCATTAAATGTTCCTGTATAATTATATCATGACTTTACTTGGAGGGGCACAACATCATTAACCCATTTTTAACTACTCATGAACTCCTTATGCACATCCGTCTAGTGCATTTACACTGAATAACAATAGAAAAGTGTTCTGTAAACATCAACAGTTTAAACACAGGAATACATGAGTAGTTAAGGATGAGTTAATGGTGATGTGCCCCTCCAAGTAAAGTCATGACATAATTGCACATTAACAGCTCATGAGTTCATGATGGTTACATTTAAACTTAATATATTAATTACCAACATGTACTAACAAGTAATTGAAGTAGCCATTATTCACACATGAACTCTTTTGTTTCTTTTGCATATTATTATACATCATTATACATTCATTTACTCTTATTGTAAAGTGTTAGTAATTATTGTTGATTTGAGACTTTATGATTTATATTTTAACACTGATGTTATGTTTCTCTGTGTGTCCTATATGTGTTATAGCTAGTATGCAGTCAATTTCTCATCCCCTTCTGCTGCCCTACAGCTTCCCTAAACCCCTCCCCTTTCCCCAGGTACATCCAATCCAAAGGCAGATTCCCTTCTTTCCTGGGCCGCCTCCCTCAGGGATTAACCTATCAGAGCTCTCCTCCCTGTCACCAGTCAGCTCCGCCCTTCAGTTCAGCCAATCTTTAAACTGGCCAGTTAAAAACAGCACAGATTGGTCGCTCAACAGAGTTCTGGGATTACAAGACAGGAGTGAACTGCTAAATAAAAACCACGAGAGCAAAGAAGACAGAAAAATATTTCCAGAGACCAAAATGCATTTGAAGATTTAGTTCTATTGTTGTATTTATTAATAGTTTATAAATATTTACTGACAGGTTAAGAGCAAAGAACTTTATATATGTCACTCTAATAACTTAAGAGACGACTGAAGGTGTTTGAATAATTTGAAAAGGAATATATGTGTAAAACAATTTAATTGCCCAAGACTAAAGTATCTGTCTGATAATACATAGTTAAATAAAGATGTATGTCTTTGTATCTTTTGCACATTGTTGGTCACATGTTTGGTATATGATATGTCTCTCTCACACACACACACACATTTAATTTATTAATTATTATTATTTATTGATTAATTTATTAATTATTATTATTTATTGATTAATTTATTAATTATTATTTATTAATTAATATTAGGCGAGGCAGTGGCGCAGTAGGTAGTGCTGTCGCCTCACAGCAAGAAGGTCACTGGGTCGCTGGTTCGAACCTCGGCTCAGTTGGTGTTTCTGTGTAGAGTTTGCATGTTCTCCCTGCCTTTGCGTGGGTTTCCTTCGAGTGCTCCGTTTTCCCCCACAGTCCAAAGACATGCGGTACAGGTGTATGAGTGTGTGTGTGTGTGGATGTTTCCCAGAGATGGGTTGCGGCTGGAAGGGCATCCGCTGCGTAAAAACTTGCTGGACAAGTTGGCGGTTCATTCCGCTGTGGCGACCCCGAATTAAAAAAGGGACTAAGCCGACAAGAAAATGAATGAATGAATGAATAATTAATATTACATTAACACATTGCCATTACTACTGTACCATATAATACTACACTTATACTCTAATTATACTAAACTAAACTTGTACTTACAGTTACAATGTTCATTACTTATATATTTATACTTATATAAATATATTTATACTGTAGATACTAGGGCAGAGGTGTCCAAACGTAGTCCTGGGGGGCCAGTGTCCTGGAGAGTTAAGTTCCAACCCTAATCAAACACACCTTAACCAGCTAATCAAGCTCTTAGATATACTAGAAACTTCATGGCAGGTGTGTTGAAGCAAGTTGGAGCTAAACTCAGCAGGACACCGGCCCTCCAGGACCGAGTTTGGAGACCCTGTACTAGAGGGTTCCCAAACTTTTCAGCCAGCGATCCCCAAAATAACACTGCCAATGACTTGGGACCCCCACATTCCTCAGAGGTGGTTAGAGGTATACAAACATTGCTCATACAACAATATGCCTACATAAACACGAGCATATTGACAACACAAGTGCAACAATCTAACAACCACATCATTTTTATAGTCTTTTATTAATTTGTTTAATTTAATATTAACCTTAACTAAAGAGACTGGTGGACACAATGTTTTCAGCACATGTCTATTCTTGGTTTAATTTTGGAGGCCACTAATCAGAAATATTGTTCAACATTCAGTTGTGGCCTGTATTTTTAATGTAATTGATTGGCATAAAGGTGTCAGAAAGTTTAACTTGGTGCTATAAAATCAATCTGTTGCAGCTGACACTATTGCTGTGTTGTTAATTTAACGTAAACACACCAATCCAAAGAACATAATAATTGAATGGCTTTTCATTTGCATGTAGTTGTTTTTTTACTATTAAAAACAATCATTTTTATCTACTGTGGGTTATGGTTAAAATATAATTGTAATAGTTTAATCAAATTTATTTGACTTATGAAATCACCAAGCGACTCCCTGTCATTGTTCCGCAAACCCCCAGGGGGTCCCGACCCCCACTTTGATACCCCATTTTCTCTAATCAGTCCTGTATTTCAGCTCTTTTAGTTCTCTTTTTTTTGTCACTTTTCCTAAAAAAAAAAATATTGGAGCCCTTAGCAGTAGTCTTCTCTTGCACAAATATAGACAAATCAAATGTAGCCAATCATGTCATAGTATATTTTGAAGAACAAAATTAACATCCAAAGACAGTTCTGTATCAATCGAATGATAGAGAGAGCCAAAGATATCAGGTTTGAGGAACAAAACATGAATGAATTTTAAAATGTAAAGAAAAAGTAAACATTTCTGAAATGTATACACTGAAAACCCTATTAAGTTGACTGAACTAAATCAATTGAATAAACTTGTTGCCTCAATTCAATTGAGTAATAAAGTCTCCCAAAACTTGCATATTTAAGTTTATTAACTTGTATACTATACTATACTTTTGTATACTATACTTCAATTGTTCGGTTCACCAAACTTAGTACTAAGTCAATGTTTTTTTTGTTTTTTTTTTTAATCAGTGACCAGTTTTTTTTTTCTATGCATATATATGTGCGTATATATATATATATATATATATATATATATATATATATATATATATATATATATATATATATATATATATATATATATATATACATTGAATTAAAGAATAATGTAACCAAAATTAAGTTAAGAAACCCCCAATATCTTTGAAACTTCTCTTAAAACACTCTCTTGGCTGTTGGATGATGGTCTTTTTCTTAAATTAAGCATAAAAAAAAAAATAAAATAAAAAAACTGGTCACTGATTCTGAGTAAAAAAACATTGAGTGCGTTGAAATATGTTGATCTACATTTGTGTTGATTTAACGACTTGCAAATAATTGAGGAATGAACCTTCATAATGATAGTATTTAAAACAACAAATCTTATTCAGACAGCATACCAATACATTTTCTAAACATTCAGTTATCTGGACAATAAGGAAGTCCTTAGGCTCAGCTTAAAACGCAAGGTTTCCCATCTAGGACTTCACAATGCAAACAGTTTAACAGTTTAAAGAAGCTCCAAGGAACCGTGCGTTACCTTTGCCACAACTGAATATTTTCTTCATTCACCCACTCACCTAATATACATTGCAGCGTCCTCTAGTGTTACATTAGAACAGCATTTTTATTTCCATTTTTCCATGGATTACAAAAAAACAAAAACAAAAAAAAACAAAACAGTTACAGACATTCCATTCTGTTACAATATGCATGTGTGTGTAATAATATACTATGAAAAAATGTTTCAATAAATTTTAAACAAAAAATAAGTAGCCATTTATTCACATTATGATGAATAATTATACCTGACCTGAAGCCATTTGTTTTCTGATTTAAAAAAAAACTTTGCACTTAAAAAGTTGCACATATTAGAATTTTACAGTCAAGACTACATTTGTGAAAATGACCCATTTTTTCAAAAGATTAATCATGATTTTGAGCTCACTACTTGAAATCTTAAGTTTATGCATTTTCATGGTACATATTTAAATTAACTAATTTGTAAGTGATAGGACTAAAATGCAAAATTTTAAGTTATGTTCACACAAATTTACTTAATTGTTTAATTAAAAACAACATTAGGGTTTACAGTGTAGCATCTCATATGATTACAGCATTTATGGCTTGAATAGGCTATATGGCAAATATACAACTGAAATGACAATAAAAGTTATAGAATAAAAATAGCAGAACACTCTTTTATCAAAAATAAAAGTGCCAAGAAGATCTAAAAAAAGAGTGTCAGAGATATGACAGAAATAAACAGTAACAAATAACATCAAAATGTTATATGACAAATCTACATCAGAAATCCTACATTATAAACCAGATATAAGCACAGTACTTAAAAGCTGCAGATACAAATATATGTAAGATCTCAGCGATTTTTACTCCGATTTATGCAAAGAACAAGGCCTCCTAAATACCTGTCCAAACTCAGCAATCCATTTGTTAGCCACTGTAAAAAGCAAAACAAATAATCAAAGTAAATCATTTTCACTATTAACAGTCAAACTTTAATAGTCTGTGTAGTTTTTTTTTGTGCTAAAGTTTTTCTTGTCAAACTCAGCAAATGTCATACAACAATAAATGATTAAGCAACACAATGTCAAATGTCTTAGGAATCTGATAATACAATTTAGATGCCTTAATATACATTTATTTATCTAAGCATTCCGAAATAATATCATGTCATTCAGTTATTATTTTTCAAATTTTGTTAAAACCTACCCCATTTGTTTCCCTGTAACACCGGGCATCCAGCATGTTTTGTGTTAAAATCACTTTCGCCGTTCTTCTGGAGATTGTACCAGAACACGGCTGAACCCTGCATGAGCAGAGAGAGAATGATACAATCATAATAATCAATTTTATTATTGATGCTGTTTAATTAACTAGTACTTAAATCCTATTTATATCACTTAGTTATGAGTTTACCTTCTCTGGCTTTACTGCAATTCCTACTTTAATGAACACAGTGGCACCCCCTTCCTCCACATCGCTCATCTACGGAAACTGCACGTCACTTACAAAGCATAGTTAAAAAATCAGGAACTGTTTTTTTTTCTGACAAGAGAACTTACATAAATCAGGAATGTAGCAATCCTATCATTCTCTTCTCCCTGTAAGGTGGAACAACTATTGGTCAACATGCAAACCAGCTCTCAATTACATAATGTGTTAAGGGGGTGGTCCACAGTGTATTTTAAGGCTTGGTTGTGTTTATAAGATGCAAAGCAATGTGTGTTCATGCTTCACTTGTAGAAAAATCACGTTATTTTTTCATAAATCTTACTTTATGTATATACAACTACACTGTTAGACCTTACCGTTTTTTTTACAGTAGAACACTGGCAACACTGTTGCCAGTTATTTACTGTAACTGAACCGAAACAGTGAGTAGCTGGCAACAGTGTTGCCAGTTAATTACTGTAATAGAGCAGCGGTGGTAACTAACTGGAAACTGTACAGTTAATTACTGTATTGTAGTTTTACAAATCACAGCATTATACTGCATACACCAGGGGTTTTCAAACTGGGGTCCGCGGCCCCCTGGGGGGCCGCCCGATGGCGCTAGGGGGGCCGCAAAGAAATTTAGATCAATGAGCCCACATGGATGAATTTTGTGTCCCGCATCATTCTGAAGGTTAATATATTTTTATTATAATTTGAGCTCAAAAGTACTGCAGAAATGAAGCTTAATGCTTATGTCATTTAAATGCAGTTGACACTTTCGTGACACAGGAAAAGAAGCACAGCGGCCCGCCTCCGTGGACGGGGACTTTTATTGAAAAAGCGCTTCTGGCCAGGCGCTTCCTGACTGTGATTTTTGGCGCTTGTCTGCTGCACCTGACGGCGTTTACCTTTCACTTACGCTTACCTCTTTTACGCTAAACAACTAAATGAATGCTCAGGTTTGACTGACTATATTTCAGTTATAATACATGATCAATAAGAACATTATCGGTGGCTGAAAGCACTACCCTGTTTATGGCTTGCGTTCCTAAGTAACCGAGGTGCTGCGGAGTACGCGCCTCTCTGCGCAGGCTTCACTCATAGAGAACAAATAGCATTTTAAAGACACGGCAAAACATTGCACCTCGTCCACAGCGCGACAGGCTTTTACACTTTGCATTGTACAAATATCAGACGGTCCTCTTTGCAGCATGGCAAACAAACATATTAAAATTGTAAAGCAAAAAGTGCTGCAATAACAATGAATGGAGCTGTCATCACATCAGCGAGTGCTCAGTTTCACTCCTGTTACACTAATGACAGCTGGATGAGCTCTGACCTCTTACTCACATTGGTTCATAACTGGATGATTAAAAAAACTAAATTGTATACACACTGAGTAAAACCACTATAGCCTTTAAAAATTATAATGTATCTGTTTGTGTTATGTTATAGGGCTAATAATTATTAAATATTAAAATGTATTAGTGCTCTGTATTTAATGGAGCTCAACATCAAATTTTAATACTCTGAATATAAATGCATTTTTGTTCCACTTTTTCCCATATTTGTTTGTGTAACTAATTTAAATGTAATGTTCAGTATTATTATTAATAGAACAGACTGGTATGAACATTTTAAAGTCAGCAAAGCTTCTAAAATTAAGCAAAGTAAAACTTGTGGCTCTTTGAACTTGAATACCCAATTCTAGATTGCATTTAGGAAATTATTTTTTTATCAGTGTAAGTCAGGATTGTCGACCTGAGTAAATTATGATGTGCACAAAAAAAGGAATAAAAATAAACAGATTTGTTAACAGGCTGATGAATGACAAAACTCTTTAAAACTTTAAAGCTTTAAATCTTTAGATACATTTAGTCTCTCAGCTGTAAGGGTAAATACAGAAGAGTCTAGCTGTGCATAGGCTGAAAAAAAGCATAAAAATGGCATAAAAACTGTGTAAAGTGACGACTTGTGCACAAAATATGCACTGTTAACCCTTACTGTAGATTATGCAGTAAATAACTGTAAAATAGCCAGTGTTTTGCTGTAATAAAAGGAAACAGTATTTTACTGTAAAAGGAGCAGGATTTGTATGAAATTTTGTAGTGCAAATAATAAATTACAGTAATTTACTTTATGTACCCATTACAGATAGTTACTGTGATAATAAATAGTAAATTACTGCTCAACCATTATTACCCCATGTACTCTGATGCTTTATGTTGATATATATATATATATATATATATATATATATATATATATATATATATATATATATATATATATATATATACACTGTCCAGTTTTGGTATGTGTATGGTCAGTATTGAGGAGAAAGTAAGACAATGCATTGATGATAAGCTAAATTTCTCTGCAGACATCTTTGTGTTTTCTTTAGTTCCTTTATGATTTTAACATTGAGTATCAGGAGTCAACCAATGTCAAAGTCACAGAGCTAATTAAAAAGTAAAGATATCGATGAGATGCATTTAAAGGCAAAAATATTCACACAGAGAAACCAAATGATCACAATCATTTTTATAACTTTGTTTACTTTTCTATAATTAATCTAATTTGCCTAGTTTAGCCTATAGTTAAGCTTTTAAATTGCACTTTAAGCTGAATATTAGTATTTTGCTAATTAACTAGTAAAAATGTGTTAAAGAAATATCGTAAACAGCACGTACATACATTTTTACATTTTCGCAGAGTTTGGAAAACTTCAAATGAAGTAGGTAAAAATGGCATTAACGGTATAGTATAAAGACTTTCCTAAATAAATGTATTAATCAGGTTATTTTGTTTTTTTTATTATTATTATTACTACAGGTTTGGAACAACATGAGGATCAGATTATTTATTTATTTTTATTTATTTTTTGCTTTGGATGAAGTTTTTATATTTTTATTGTTTTTATTTAATTATATGTGCATGATTGTGATAAATGTAGGCAGTTCCTTTGAAAATGTGCTATGTACCAGAGATGTCAAACTCCTGGAGGGCCGCAGCCCAGCAGAATTTAGTTCCAGCCCTGCTTCAACACACTACCTTTAGATTTAGTTTAATCAGGTGTGTTTAATTAGTATACATGCACTGTTACTCTGTAGATTTTGCAGTAAATAACTGTAAAATAGCCAGTGTTTTGCTGTAATAAAATAAAACATTTATTATTTATTAACACATATTATTTTACTGTAAAAGGAGTAGACTTTGTATGAAATTGTGTAGTGCAAAGAATAATTAAAAAGTTACAGTATTTAGTATTACATTGAATCCTAAAAACCCACATAAAAAATAACTTCAGTGGCAGAGAGAGCTTAACATGCAGCAATTCAAGAAAACACGTACAAAAAAACTGCAGCAAATTAAGAAAAGATCTTTATCCGCCTGTTGCAAAACCTTACAACGCATACACATTTTTGCAACATATTTTTAAAACACGCATTGCATTTTCTCACAGTGCAAACAAATTATTAAAATGTGCTGCAAATGTTTCAAGAGGACCTTAAAATGTGACAGACCCAGCTATTTAGATTATGATTATTTAGGCTGATAAAATACAAAAGACAAGGGAATCAATATATTAAAATAAACAAACAAAAAACTCTCTCTTGGAAAACTCTCTTACCAAGATCACCTATACAACTTCACTGAACAATAGTCCCGGCACAGCAGCATCCATTAGTTTTAGGGTCCCCTTAAAACATTTGCATTGTGTTCCGAGCTATTTGAAAATGTTGTGAGAAATTGCCGCACATTTTATTATCTTGTTTGCTTTGTGTTGTACAGTAAGAATTTACAGCATGTGTGCTGTCAAATGAAGAAAGATATTTTCTTAACTTGCTGTCATTTTTTGTAATTGCATGCGTTTTCTTAAATTGCAGTATGTTAAGCTCTCTTGGTCACCATAAATAACTGATCTACAAATTGACATGATGTTTTAGTATACAGCATGGTGAACTTACCAATGCATCAATATGTGGTTCAAATCTGCCACCAATCCCATAATTCTGAACCTGCCAAAAAATATTACATCACTATTGAAATGAAAAGTCATTATTGAAATGGAAAAACTCAAGAATGTGATAAATCAGTTAAATAGTCATTGATTTTCTTTTCGGCTTGGTCCCATTATTGATAGATTAGTATGACGTACAAGCAGTGGTTCAGCTTTTTCCATAGAGAGTCCTGTAACATCTTCAATCCTCTGACTGACATGAGCATCAACAGGGTCATCATCATCTAGAAAAACACTGAAAATATGTTTTTCTTTGAATATATTGTTTGTGATCAAAACTATTATGTAAAAGGGTGAGAGAGGGGTGGTAGGGTGAACTATCCCTTTTAATCAGGTGAATCCATGAAATAATAAACCTTTGAGAAACACGATGCTTTGAGATTTTTCCCTGTCCATCTTGATAAACTCCTGATCTAGAAAGCTGAGCCACAAATAGAAATGTATTATTAAACACAAAATGATACATAATATGCAGTACATGGCCACAATTATGAGAGCAGCAAACAACACATTTCAAATTGTAAGCAAAAATTAAAGTTTGTTTACATTGCACCATTCATTCAGCTTAGTCCCTGATTTGTCATTCGCCACAGCAAAATGAACCGCCAACTTATCCAGCATACTGTATGTTTTACGAAGCAGATGGCCTTCCAGCTGCAACCCAATACTGGAAATCACACTTACACTCTCATACACTCATACATTACGGTCAATTTAATTCCATTCAATTCATCTGTACCACATATCTTTCGGGAAAACCGGAGCACCCGATGGAAACCCATGTCAACACTGGGAGAACACAGTGGAATGAACCGCCAACTTATCCAGCACATGTTTTACGCAGCAGATGCCATTCCAGTTGCAACCCAACACTGAGAAACACCCATACACTCCTAGCTTATTCAATTCACCTATAGTGCATGTCTTTGGACTGTGAGGGAAACTGGAGCACCCAGAGGAAACCCATGGGAACAGGGGGAGACCATTCAAACTCCACACAGAAATGCCAACTGACCGAGCCACTGCTCCTAAAGCGGTTGTGCTGCCCACTGCGCCATTGTGCTGCCAGTTACAGTTTATTTTTAGTGTATTATAGTTTAAAGGCACAGTATACACTGTGCTTTGTCAGATATATACTGTTAATGTAATGTTAAACAGTTTTCCAAATGTTTTACACACATTTATACCTGAAATGTGTGTGTTTGTGTGTGCATGTTTGATTCACTTGAGGTCTGGCGATATCCTTAAGTGTCTCTATCTCTGTGTCTGAGATCACATCATGAAATCTGATGATTTTAGGCTCGTCCCACAACTCTTCCTCTTTCACTGGTGCGTACATCAGTCTGGGGTTTCCTCCACTCGTGCTGTACCTACAGGACAGCGCCCTCTGCCTCTTGGAGGTCTGATTTAATCAAACATAATAACACATCAAATCAATACACACTAAAGTATAATTAGATTTTAAATGGTTATTTCAGTCTGAGACTGTTCACTTGCCCTCTCATCAACCTCTCCTCTACACAGGGCCTCGTAGTTACTTGACAATGAGTCCAGCCTGAATATATTAGGGTTTGGGCTTTTCTGGAAGTGAAGAAGTCTATTCAGCTGTAGTTTTACTTCATTATCATATGGATCTGAAAAAAAAAACATATATATATTTTATACAGTTTATTAATGAAATAAGAATTTGCTAAAATTGTATTACAAACTCAAAATTTTAAATATTAGTAAACTGTAGGTCGCGTAAGCTTACTTAAATATAGAAGCTCTTGGCTATAGTAAATTGCCCAAGGTAGGCTACCAAAATGTTTGGCTGAAAGACTGAGGTAATGTAGCAAATCTTTCTCATTAGTGGATGAGTTTTCTGTCCATCTTATTCCGCTGTATGAAAACCAGAGAAAAGCATGCTGGAATTTGTACTCTTTGTAAGCAACCCTCCCTACATGAAAAGCTTCATCCGCGTCTAGAGATGTTTCTGTAAAATGTAAAATGAAAGAATCTAATTGGAACTTATTTTAAACAACAACAACAACAGAAAGTATTGCATGTGCTTGTAATTCCAATAGTATCTGGATGCAGCCTTTATGATGCAAGCTGAGATTGCATCACTCAGCGATGCAGTGTCAGACACAATGCACTCAATGGAGTGAGTGACGTCACTGTAACGGGTAGGGTTAGGGCTGGGGTTAGTTGAGCGCATTAAAAAGCATTGGTTGCAGCTCAGATTGCACTGCACCAGGTCTGCATCCAGACCCCTTTCTGTAATTCACCCTTTGTGATGTCCTCTGGGTAGAGTTTGTAGATCTCCTGCAGTCTGATCAGTCCTGAAGCTGCACCATCCAAATCCTCATACTGTGGGATCAACGTTGTCTTCAGTTCATCCTGAAACTCATCACACTGACTGACATCAATAATCGACTGAATGGTTTCTATAATATATATTAATTCTTCTCTCAGTCGACAGAGGAGTTTGTAAGCTGCCACAGGGTCTCTCAGGTTTTCCTCTGGGTTTTCATCCTCATAGTATGAAAACAGATGATTCAGAACACTGGAATGAAGACAGGGGTACATTAATCAAATATTGTTTATCAAGTTACTTATTAACTTAATCTTTAAAGCAGGGGTCATTAATCTTGGTCCTGGGGGTCACCTAGGGGTTACCAATCTCGGTCCCTGCAGAGTTTAGCTCCAACTTGCTTCAACAAACCTGTCTGGAGGTTTCAAGTATACCTAGTAAGGGTTTAATTAATTGTGTGTTTAGAGCTAAACTCTGAAACTTAGGGTTGGAGCTAGACTCTGCAGGACACCGGCTCTTCAGGAATACGTTTGGTGACCCCTGCTTTAAAGTAAAATCACATCTAAGACTGCTGTGTATTTGTATACTTAATATATATATATATATATATATATATATATATATATATATATATATATATATATATATATATATATATATATATAATACAAAAAAAGTTTTTCACCTCGTTATTGTTTCATTCTTTTCTTCAGCAATGCACTGTCTCAAGTCTGTCAGAATGTCATTCTTCTTCTCATAAAGCTGTGCAATTTGATCTATAAAATTAGATTTAAAGGGATAGTTCACTCAAAAATAAATATTTTTTTTACCCAAACCTTGTAGATATTTAATTTAACTAGATATTTTGAAGAATGTTAGAAATCTGTAATATAGACTTTAATAAGTAAAACACTTCCCCATAGTATTTGTTTATCCTACTAGACAATGGTTGCAGGTTTCTAGCATTCTTCAAAGTATCTTCTTTTGTGCTCAAACCGGTTTGGAACAAGGATGAGTAAATGATGACAGAATTCAAAATTTTGGGTGAACTATCCCTTTAAGTAATAAATAATAGATTTTTCCAAATAATTTGAGGTTAAACAGAAAGGTTACATTTGGTAAGAGAGTGAAATTCTGCATGTTATGTTAAAGGGATAGTTCACCCAAAAATGAACATTTACTCACTATTTACACAGTCTCAAGTGGTTCCAAAAGAAGATATGATGAAGAAAGCTGAAAATCTGTAACTAATGACTTTAATAGTACACTGTTAGACCTTACCAGGCTTTTTTTACAGTAGAATACTGGCAACACTGTTGCCAGTTACTCACTGTAAAAGTTTGGTTACAGTAAGTAACTGGCAACAGTGTTGCCAGTTAAAGGGCACCTATGGTAAAAAATCTACTTTTCAAGCTGATTGGACAGATCTGTGTGTTGGTATAGTGCAGTGGTTCTCAAAGTGGGGGTCGGGACCCCCCAAGGGGTTGCGGGACAATGAAGGGGGGTCGCCTGGTGATTTCCAAAAATATAATTATTTATATTAAACCATAAGAATTACCATATTTTATCAAACTACTGAAGAGAAAAAATGTTGTTTATAGTTAATATATTCTATATAGTTACTACAGTAGCTTATAGTTACTAGTTCTATTGGATTGCGACCCCTGGTGTAATTACATAATTTTAAAGACACACCAATGGCGTCAGATGCAGCAGATTGATTTTATAACATCAGGTTAAACTTTCTGGCACATTAACAGCTCTGATTTACATTAAAAAAATATTAAACTAAGAATAAACTTGGGTCTATTGGTGTGTGTGTGCTATTGCATGCAAGGTTTCTGTATATATAACCACCTCAGAGGATATTGGGGGTCGCGAGTCACTTGCATTGTTATTTTGGGGGTCGCAAGCTAATAAGTTTGGGAACCCCTGGTATAGTGTATAGACCGTCATATTGGGGTGATATGAACACACCCAGTCCTTTTTTTCAATTTAACTACAAAAAAAAGGGTCGGCCAATTGGAGCTGTTTTCAAATTGATCGCACCATTACGTAGGTGTGCGATCCCCCCGCCCACCGAATTGATTGACAGCTGCGCGCATTAACATGTTCCGGTAGTCGCGTGTATATGTCAACAAGACCAGGCAGACATACGCAAAGCAACCGGGAATAAAAGGTCTGTTCTGTTCGCTAGGATCAGCAATCATCATCAAATGTGATTAAGAGTAAGTTTCACATGTTTAAAGTGTTTTAAAACAGAGTATGTGTGTAATTAATTACAACGTTTTACTTAAGCTTCATCAGCACAGCCGCGTGTCAGAACAATTATAAAAGAAGACGCTTCAATCCTGGTTTGTGGAAGTTAAATCAGGTTTATTTTGTACATTAGCATAACAGATATCCACAAAGTACTTGAGGTTAGCCTTAATTAAGCTAAGCGCGCTCTGTCTGCCTGCCTGTGTGTGTGTGTGTGTGTGTGTGCTCGCGCGCGCGTTAACTTTGTAACGATATTGTGTGTGACTCATCAATGCAACTTCACAATACTGATTAGTAAAGGTTATTTCTTACTGTAGTATCTCACAAATGCTACGTGAGACCTTCTTTCAGTATAAAACAGCATCTTGTAAAAGGTATAATGAAAAATCTGATGGGTATTTTGATCTGAAACTTTATATACACATTCTAGAGACGCAAAAGACTTATATTAAATCTGAAAAAAGGGGTAACCTAGGTGCCCTTTAATTACTGTAACTGAACCATTACAGTGAGTGGCTGGCAACAGTGTTGCCAGTTATTTACTGTAACCGAACCATTACAGTGAGTAGCTGGCAACGGTGTTGCCAGTTAATTACTGTAATAGTGCAGTAGTGGTAACTAACTGGAAACTGTGCACAGTTAATTACTTTACTGTAGTGTTACAACTCACAGCATTATACTGCATACACATTAATCGTATGTCATAGTGTTACTAAAATTAATTAGTATTCTTACCTGTTATTTAAAATAAAAGGCATAAAAATTCAGACAAATGTATTTTATTGTTTTGGCAGCAAACAAATAAACAACAGAAAATGTATAACAAAATTAAGAAATCAGCAGATATAAATATTGTCTTGCATATTACAGGTCTGCACAGTAAGGCTGTGGTCACACTAACATTTGAGCATGCGAAATTCTGTCATACTGCACTGCGAAAAGAAGTGGGATTAAACAAAATAATTAGAGATTGAAAAAGCAAGCGACTGGTCCATAGTTTAAATTTTTGTGCTAGCATTCCAGGAAGTCTAGAGGGAGAAAAGTGCAGTGTGACTGGGACTTTAAGCTGTAACTCTAATTGAACACATCTGATAAAACTAATTAAGGCTTGTTAGAAATCTACAGGTAATGTTGAAGCAGGGTGTAAACTAAACTCTGCTGCGCTGCAGTTCTCCAGGGCCCGGTTTTTCAAAAGTAATCCACTAGGATTTTGGATAAGGGATTGGATCAAATCCTGAAAATGGGTTTTTCAAAAGAAAAAATGGATTACCTAATCGGATTAGATCACGTAATCCAATCTTGGTTTTGATCCGGATCAAACCTTTAGTTTGGGTTTTTCAGACCTTTTTTGTAGGATTTGGATCACTTTGATCCAAAAAACCTGGATTAAACTGATCCCATCAGAAGGGTGGATTTAGTGTGGATTTCATGCCTAAAATGTAATGAAAACTTAAAAAATTTATTAAATAATACTATTTTTAGATCATGCAGTATCTTACGAGATATACTATTTATTAATAAGGTTTTAATTTTATTTGTTCATCCGTCAGGCTATAGTGATTATTGGCTTTAACGTATTCAGCCTTTCAGCCTACAGCAAAGTAGAAAGAGTTTGGCCTCATAAAATAATCCCCCAAACAGCTGTAAAATTTACCAAAAACAATAAAAAAAAATTCTGTCACTAATTGATATATATATTCATCACAATGGAAAATATTTTTCTTTTGGAATATTTATTAGTAATGCGTGCAATGATAACAGAATAACCAAAAATAAAAATAAAAATGCAAAGAATGGCAATGACTTTAGATTTCTCTTTCAACAATTGCAAAAAGAGACTGAAAGGGCAGAAGCACAGCTTCATCTGTCAGAGAACAACTGACTCTGACCAAACTGCAGCAAACCAAGGACAGACTTGAGATCTGCCTCCTAAAGGCTACGCTCAGACAAGCTGCTCTCTCCACATCAGATGAGGAAGTCTGAAATTATTGTGGAGTTTTTGACATTAAGTCTTTTTTTATTTACATCTATATTTGAAACCTATTATAAATATCCTCAATGTACAGTGTTGTAGGTCTCAGATGAGCTGACTGCTGGAAGAGGATGGGGTGGGGTTTTTCTTGTTTTTATTATTTATTATTATTATTATTATTATTTTATTATTTATTAAATTTTCTTAGTTTTCATTTCAAATAAAAATAAAGTTACATTGACCCCACACTGGCTATTATATTTGTTGCTCTTTACACAGGCCTGTCTATCTACATTGTGACTGAGCACTGGTAATCCAGATTTAGTTATCCTGAAAAATTCTGAATCTGTGGTAATAATAAAAAACACAAAAATTACATGATTTATACATTTATTTAGGAAAGCCTTTATACTATACTGTTAATCCCACTTTTACTTACTTCATTTGAAGTTTTCCAGAAAAATTCATTGAGTCTCTGCAAACATGTATGTACGTGTTGTTTAAGATTTTTTTTTTAAATGACACATTTTTACTAGTCATTTAGCAAGATACTAATATTCAGTTGAAAGTGCAATTTAAAAGCTTAACTATAGGTAAAATTAGGCAAATTAGATTAATTATAGAAACAAAAACAAAGTTATAAGGAATTATTGTGACAATTTCTTTACTCTGTGTGAATATTTTTGCCTTTAAATGCATCTCGTCCATATCTTATGCTTAGCTTTTAATGATCTCTGTGGCAATGGTTGACTCCTGATACTCAATGTTAAAACTTAAAAGAAACCAAAAAAAAAAAAAAAAACAGAGATGGCTGCAGTGAAATTCAGCTTATCATCAATGCAATGTCCCTCTCTCCCCTCAATACTGACCATTCACATATCAAAACTGAACAGTAAATATATATATATATATTAGGGATGTAACGGTATTGTAAATACCGTCATACCGCAATATTATTTTTTTTCTATATTACCGTAGTCGCACGACTCGGTAAAACTATAGGTCTTCTGAGAAAATTTGCTCAGGCGAATGAAGCGAACGGGAGGTAC